TTACCCAAAGGACCCTGCGGTGAGAGGTGGATCCTGATAGTCGAAGACACCGCCAGTAAGTGGGTTGAGCTGTTCGCTCTCATTGATGCCACTGCCGAGGTATGTGCAAAAACCCTCGTTAATGAAGTCTTTATGAGATTCGGAGTGCCTCGCCGGATGATTTCCGACAACGGAGTTCAATTTGTGGCCGATGTCATGCAAAAGGCTATGTTTGTTTTAGGGGTAAAACAAAATCTCATTCCTCTTTATCATCCCGAAGCCAATCCGGTTGAGCGGAAGAATCGGGACTTAAAGGCTCATCTTGCCATATTGCTTGAAGGCCGTCACCAGCAGTGGCCTGAGGTACTGTCGTTCGTCCGATTCGCTTTTAATAGTTCCGTCTGCACGTCAACCGAGCAAACGCCAGCTTATCTTACCTTTGGTCGTGAGCTCCGATCTCCAATATCCGCTCAGCTTGATCTTCGCGCCGTCGTAGAGTCCGAGAACTTTGTCCCCCAGATAAGCCCATACTTGTCCAAGCTTGCCGAGACCATCTCGACCGCTAAGGAGAATATTGAACATCATCAAGATATTCAAAAGACGCGCGCTGATCTAAGGCGCTCTGAACCTTACCAGTTTGCAGAAGGGGATCTCGTATTGATGAAGACCCACGTACTTAGTAATGCTAGTAAGGGTATTACGTCGAAGTTTAATCCTAAGCGGGATGGGCCATATGTGATTTCAAAAAAGGTGAGTCCTACTTCCTACCTTCTAGCATACGAGTCGTCGGGCGAAGTTTTTGGTAAGTATCATGTCTCGGATTTGCGACCTTATCATGCGAGGGAGGATGTATGTCCCGAGCCTGTGATTCCCAAGCGCCGCCGGGGTCGACCGCGTAGGGTGGTGGAGTAGACTGGGTCTCATTCCGCGTTGTTTGTTTGACCAGTCAAGGATTTCTCGCCAGGTCAAAAGGGGGAGTGTGTAACGTGCGGAACCGAAATATAATAAAAAAATCCTCGCACGCTAAGCGGAACCCTAAAGTGTCGACCAACGCCGCGCGACCGACACCTGCGCAAGATTCGTAAAAATGCAGTCAGTGAGTTTCGAAAAATTTGAATAACGCGCATGCGCCGGTCGCTGCACAAAATTATTAATTTAAAAAACTATCTTGTTACCTTAAGTTGTAACGATTAAATAAATGATTAACATTAAAATCTTTATTATTTTGATAATTATAATTTTTTTTAATTAACAAAAAATTAAATTTCTAAAAAATGTTATGAAAAATAGTACTTTTTCCGTAATATCTTAATATTGCTGTTTTTTGCATCTACCATAGGTATTAATTAACATTTAAAAAAATAAATTACGCTATTTGTTAAGAAATTGTTTATAAACAAATAAACTATTTTGGGATTTTTTAAAAAAAATTTTTACCGTCTTATTGTATAAGTGAAATAATGATTTTTTAAAAAACAAATTTTCTTAAATAAATGTTTTAATTGTTTAAAATCGTTTTTTTTTTCATATTTCAATTGTTTAAATAATTAGTTAAGAAATAAATGAAAACTGATCGATAGAAGAATGTAAATGAGGTAAGTATAAATTAAAACTAGTGTATTATTTAAACAAAATTATATATTTCTATGATTTATACGTAATTAGAAAGATATTTTATCATAGAACAAAAAAGTTTTTGGGTCCGTAGCTGTATCTATATTATTCAACAAATTATAAGCTATGAAATTTCAAAAATTATCAAAAAAATCTTAAATTTTTATATACAAATGCTTATAACTGATAAACAATAGTTACAGGATCGATTTTGAATTTATTTTAAAGATAAATAAATCCTTTATAAAAATGACCTGTGTCCTTTACCGTATCTCTTATAGTTTAAAAGTTATAACAATTTATAACTTGACAAATTATGTAACGGCTGTAATTTCATTATCATATAATATCTAAAAATGCTATAAAAAATACAAATTTTTTTTTTCTATATTTTGTTATGTATAGTTGTTTTTGTAATTTTTTGTAGTTTTCGAAAAAAAATATAACGATAAATATTATTTTTTTATAACAAATTGTTAAGTTAATAAACAATGAAATTATTTATAAAAAAATGTATTTGTTTGTCAATCCGCTGAAAAGAGTCAATGATGATTTTTAAGAAAAAAATAATTTCTTAACTAATTATTTAAACAATTGAAATATGAAAAAAACGATTTTAAACAATTAAAACATTTATTTAAGAAATTTTTTTTAAAAAAGAAATCATTATTTCACCTATACAATAAAACGGTAATTTTTTTTTTTTTAAAAAATCCCAAAATAGTTTATTTGTTTATAAACAATTTCTTAACAAGTTGCGTAATTTTTTTTTTTAATGTTAATTAATACCTATGGTAGATGCAAAAAACAGCAATATTAAGATATTACGGAAAAAAACTATTTTTCATAACATTTTTTAGAAATTGAATTTTTTGTTAAAAAAAATAATTATAATTATCAAAATAATAAAGATTACAAATTTTTTTTTGCATTTCTTTATTAAGTACTTAAATCATAAGAGCTCCACGAAGGGAAAAAATTATAGATGAATTATTGAAACTTTTATACCGTAATTTATAAAAACAGAGATTGGAAAAAAGTTAGTTAATTAACAATGGTGTAAATTTTTGAAAAATCGATATAAAAATTTTTTTTCACCTAGGTTTTTTTCGTTCAAGTGTTTAGATTACACCATAATTTATTCAAATTTTTAAATTGTTATTTAATACTATAAAAAAATTATTTTAGGTGATATACCGGCTTTTTAGACGGCGCGCCTATGCCGTAACGACCTCGCGGAGCGCTATTTTCAGCGTTAAAATTTTTTTATAAATAATAGAGATAGAATTCCGGGAGTTGGGACTTTTTTATTGGAAATTTCCTCCTCTTTCAGGATCTTTTTTCAAAATTCCTTAAATATCATTTTTTTAGAAATTATTAAGGAAAAACTAAATTCCTTTTTTTTTAAATCTTATTTTGTTTATAACAATCGCAATTTTTTATGTGCTAATAAGCCCTTAAAAAACATTTTTGTAGACATCATTCCGCATCCAATGAGCTATCGTACATATTTTTAGGAGCTTTATGTCTATTTAACACGTTTTTGAACTTGTTGACTAGACTACACTGAGTTTCTCGCCGGGTCTTCTCAGTGGGCCGCGTTTCCGATCCGGTGGTAGATTCTGCGAAGCACTGCTCTTGCTAGGGCTATTGTTAACAACGCCCCTAGGTTATAGCCCCGAGAGCTCACCTACACATTAGGTTACGCTGTCGTAACCTCTCAAAGCTACCACCAGCTTAGATTAGAAAAAAAGATCCAAGAATTGTAAATCAATTCAAACTAAGGTACATACCCACCGTCAATATTATATCAAATATTGATTTAAGGAGCCACTTGATAGTCAATCTCTTGTTAAAGATACGACCCTAAGCGATGATGACAAATTACGAAAAGCTTAAAGTTCGGCTGCATTCGTTTACTTCAAAAAGATGACGGACCAGACACGTATTCATCATCTACTAAAGATAATTATATTCTAACCGCGCTACGAATAGCCTTTAGATACTATTCCCATAGGCGCCGACATTTGAGTTACACTTGCCGCCCTGACCTCCCGACCTGCGTCGTAAAGGCGCTCATAAAATGCCAAGTAAAACTATCGTTAGTTCCCACTACTGACAAATGGCGACACAGATAATAATAATATTTTGTTATCTGTACTAATGTTTGTAAAACTAAATATTTTGTTTAGCTTATTATTACTGGTTAAGTATAGTAAACCCGATGGTGTAACACCATCCCGCCTACTTCAGCCACGAAGAAATCACGCGTGCCATTTTGAAGGGAGGGGTAGCTATTATACAACTGAGATTTTAAACGCATGTCCCAAACTGCGTAGTATCGTTCTCTCAGCGATGAGCTCAGAAAACCACTTAATCCGAAAATTTGGCTGCAAATATTGAAAAAGCACAGCCTCTACAGGAAGACGTAGCTCCAGAGAATTCACAAATTCCTTAGGGGTTAATTAGAAGAAAAAAATAGAGGTAATATTATTATATTATAGCAATTAACATTTACACACTTGTTTTTGCATTTCTAAAACCTACGTTCTACTTTAAAAATTGAGCGTTTTATTGTTAACTTACAATTACATCATAATGACTTTTTCAAATAAAATATGCCTGCCTATTTCTGCCGTGAAGCAGTAATGCGTTTCGGTTTGAAGGGCGGGGCAGCCGTTGTACTGTTAAAAGTGAGACCTTAGAACTCATGTCTCAAGGTGGGTGGCGGCATTTATATTGTAGATGTCTATAGGCTCCGGTTACCACTTAACACCAGGTGGGCTGTGAGCTCGTCCACCAATCCAAGCAATAAAAAAGACAACAAAAAAATTAAAATAATCAACTCAATTAATATTTATATCGTTTATTTCGAAAAATAACAACATTAAAATGATAATTATGCTAATATATCGCAATTCACTTAATTCTACTTTTGTATTATACTTACATGAGTAAATAAATGCAATAATTTATATATGTTCAACCAAACAGTACCATTAAGTGTTCGCTAACTTTAAAATGTTTTTTTATTTACAAAATTTATAACCGACGCTTGAAAGGCAAACGTGACTAAGCGACAATGCGTGAACTTTACAGTAGACTAATTTAAAGTTAAAATACCTGAAAACAATTATATTTTAACGAATCTAGCTGTAGGATTGAAATGATTTTAATAGACTTAGAAATATATTTTTTTTGCGCATTGAATATGGTTATTGCCTATCATTTATGTACAAAGCAGTTATTGTCGCTTAGTCACGTTTGCCTTTCAAGCGTTGAATTATGTATTTGTAATGGCAGTACAATTAACATAGAGGCCGACAGGTGGCGCGCTAATAGTTTGTAATAAGTTTAAGTATTTTTTATGCATTTAGTGACAGTCATATAAGAAACTAAACAAATACACATGAAACAATACAAATTACATTTTAGATTATACAAAAAAAGAGAGTCTAATTTCCGTTTGTACATTGTCTCAAATTTAATATAGAACAAAAAAAGCATAATTTAATTGCTAAATCACATAATTATTTTATCACAGACATTAATTATCATTTTATACTTATACCACAAACAATTTATTTCATTACTTTTCAAATTATTTTTCAAACCGAATTATTCACAGAAAAATACACAAAATATAAAATTTGTTCGTTGATTTATTTCTCTTAATTTTGTCTGCTGTATTATTTAGCTTCAAAATAATCCGCACACACGGTTTGCCGGCACCGCTTTATCTGCAAGTAATATATTCATTAATAGTAATATATCCATTGAATTCATTATAATAAATAATAAACATTAACTGAGAAGAAAACACACACGGTCATCCGGGCCCAAATTAGAATTCCCTGTGTTATTGGTACCAAATACTGACTATATATATATATCTTTTTTTTTACAGTTTTCGTGGTCTCTCGACCGGCTTAAAGGTGCTGTTGCCAGGCAATAAAATATTTTAAAAAAAGCTCACAACACGGCTACAATATTTTTTTTTATTTTTTTTTCTTAGGTGGATGGACGAGCTCACAGGCCACTTGGTGTTAAGCCAGCTACTGGAGCCCATAGACATCTACAATGTAAATGCGCCACCCACCTTGAGATATAAGTTCTAAGGTCTCAGTATAGTTACAACGGCTGCCCCACCCTTCAAACCGAAACGCATTACTGCTTCACGGCAGAAATAGGCTGGATGGTGGTACCTACCCGCGCGGACTCACAAGGTCCTACCACCAGTAAGTGCATTTACCTATAATCTCTAAAGTAACAAAAAAGCGATAGAGTTATTATATGTGACTATTAAGTTGTTTGATCAAAATAATCAAAGCCGATTAAACAAGATCGTACCGATCTCTATTCCAAAAACAAACAATATACACTCACTTATCATTTTCGGATACGGCAAATTCAAATTATCCATGATCTCAACGAACTCGGCAAGCGACTTCGTCAATCTGGGATTGTATTTCTTCTCCTCGGCCACAGAGGTCGCTGTCTGCCCTCGATAATCGTGCGCGGGATACAGCACGTACTCGTCGGGCAAAGTGAATATTCTATTGTGGACCGATTTGTAGAGGGTCTCAGAGTTACCCTCCTGGAAGTCGGTGCGGCCGCAACCCCGGATCAAGAGGGTGTCACCAGTGAACGCCAATGACTAGAAAGAAACAAGGTTATACATTAGTGAACTAAGAATATTAATTGTATTTTATAAACACACTAGCTGTACCCGTCTGCTTCGCTGGGCATTTAAAATTAACATTATTATTTCTCACCCCCCCAAAAAATTCTCATCATTAACGCCCCCGCAACTGGTGTAGGGAGTCCTACAGTCACATAAATATTAGCTTATCCATTAAGTACATGTATTTTCTACATGGATACCAAGGTTCAAGCCAATCGGATGCATGGTTCAGTAGTTATAACGGAACATCCGTAAAAACCACTGTAGATTTATTATACATTAGAATAGATAGACACAGGCCACCGATCGTCGGATCTTTTCAGTGGGTCGCGATTACGACGCGGTGGTATATTCTGTGAAGTACTGCTCTTGCTGGGACTAGTGTTAACTAATTCTCTCAGGTTGAGCAGGTGAGCTCACAAACCCTCTTAGGTTACCAGTGAATAGGCAGGGAAAAATCTATATATAATATAAAAATGAATTGCTGTTCATTGGTCTCGCTAAAACTCGAGAACGGCTGGACCGATTTGGCTAATTTTGGTCTTGAATTATTTGTGGAAGTCCAGAGAAGGTTTAAAAAGTTAGATAAATATGAAAATGCTCGGAATTAAATAAAAATAACAATTTTGTTTTTCCTTTGATGTGTTTTTGTTTGTTTTAAGTTTTTATACAAAAGTTTAGGTCTTTTATTTGTCGATTGAGGCACTACGAAGTCTGCCGGGTCAGCTAGTTATTCGATAAAAAAGTCATTGACACTACCTACATACACAAAGTTGTTCTAGGTAATGGCAACAGCAATATATTTATTAAGTCTCTACCGACTCCGATTGGAACTTGTGTGTTGCCTATAGCCTATTTTAAAAGCAAAATACCATTAACATTGTATATTATTTTGATTTGAGTGAGACCTTTTCTGACTGGCGCTTTAGTTTCGCTACGATTGAGGCTCAAGGTCATCGTGATGCTACTGAGCTTTAGTAACCTAAAGACAGGCCGTGAGCTGCCGAGCTCCTCCTAGCGTCATTTTCCTCATTACTGAGGATTGTGACTCCCCCGCTGTATCAGTTTCTCCCGTACGATTTCCCTCCATCTGCTGCGATCCTTAGCTTCATGAAGGGCATTGTGGAAGTTGATGTTTAGAGAAGATCGTATTTGGTCCGACCGTCTCGTGGGGCTGCGTCCTCTGGGACGTTTGCCATCTACCTTTCCTGTCACCATCAGCTGTTCTAGATTGTGACCCTCTTTACGAGCAATACGTCCGAAGAATTTCAGCACCCTACGAAGGCATATAGTGGAAAGTCTAGTTTTGATATGAAGCTCTCTCAGAATAGACACGTTGGTGCGAAAGGCGTTCCATGAAATCTGTAGCATTTTTCTCCAGCACCACATTTCAAAGGCCAATAGCATAGCTGCCAAGCTACATCAGCAAAATAGTTCAAGTACCTGTTCGTGACATATGTAAGTCAAGCATCCATTAGTGTGGCCCGGAGTCGCAGCAGCGAGGAGTTCGTGGCTCCCGAACCGCACCAGGTCACCGTCGAGCAGGTGGATATCGGCTTGGGCACCCGAATCCTTGCCTATGACGCTTTTAGTACCCGGTACAATTGACTTCAACTTCCCAGTGCCGGTTATATGGTCGGCGTGCATGTGTGTGTTCACTGAAATTTAAAAAAAACAGTTTAGCTGATCAGAGTCAATGCCATCAGATGCCATGCTGAAATTAATAGACGTGGACAAATCACTACTATTAGAGAGAGAGAGAGAGAGAGAGAGAGAGAGAGAGAGAGAGAGAGAGAGAGAGAGAGAGAGACAACGTACTTTATTGCACACCAAAACACAATTAACATCAGAAATGGATCTTTACACACTTAAAAAGGGCTGTAAGGTCACTCTGACGAACATAGTCACGTTAGCGCGGATAGATGGCGCTAGTAGTGATTTTTATCTTTTGTACCATAGGTCGAATCAATATTGCAATTTTGTTTAAATGCATGTCACATCATTGGAACACAAACTACACTAACTATAGTACATTGTGCACCAAGGGACAAAAGTTGGACATTTCCCCCCGCGTGTAAAATTGGTAAACACGCGGGATGAGATGTCCTACTTTTTTCCCGTGGTGCACATACTATTTTTTCTCCTACCAGGCCGAAAGTTCGACATTGTAAAAAACTTAACACCCGTGGAGTGCCGAGCCGGGTGCCAGGGGCGAAGCCCTGGCGGGAGGTGGAGGGGCAGAGCCCCCCCACTCATAAAAAAAACAATTTAACTGTTTTTGATTTTCAAATAAACTACTATTAATTGAATAATAACCGTCTGATGAACTCATCTTTGTTTAATACTTCACTATTAAATTTTATTGCCTTTTGTTTATTTCACTTTTACACTAAACACAATATTGCAAATTACCCGAGCACAACAATGGCGGAGAATTTTAGGTGCGTGAGAGCAGACGTAGATACTAACGCGCATGCGCACTTATCAGTACCTAGGGAGGAAAAGTTAAGACTTTCTTCCCTGTACAGCGGGACGAAAGCCGAACTTTCGGCGTAGATAGGAGAAAAAGCACTTTTTAAAGTCACAGGAAAAACTTTTTTTAGTTTAGAAAATTATCTGCAATACCCACTAGCATAAATGAGTTTAAAGCCAAGTTCCTCTATTAACTTAGCATCCCTCTCGGCGTGTTCTAAAACTGGATCTATGAGGACCGCTTCACCAGTCTTCTTATCTCCAAGTAAATATGTATATGTGCTACTCACCGTATCAAATAACTAGAAAAAAAGTTAGGCCATTTATATTAATTGAGTTCCAAATTTAAACAGAATGGAGATATTATTTTTTCCTCTAATTGAAATACAATTTTAGTGTTTTATTTTAACATCTATACCTTTTAGGAGGATGTACACATGAGGCTCTAAAAAGAAAGTCTGGTATAAATATTTATCAACTAGCGACCTGCCCTCGCTTCCCTTCGGAAACATTAAAACACACAGTAGCCTATGTTCATCAGGGACAATGTTGGCTTCTAACGGAAAAATAATTTTTCAAATCGGTCCAGTAGTTTCGGAGCCTATTCGAAACAAACAAACAAACAAACAAACAAATCTTTCCTCTTTATAATATTAGTATAGATGATAGATTTTACAGACAGTTTGCCTTCTTGAGAGCACAGCAGAAACCCACAACCTTTGGTTAAGTGCTTGAAGGAATTATGATATTGCTCATATATCTAGGTAAAAGTTTATGGACTTTGATTATTATCATATAATATATTTATCGGTCTCTGATAACTGATAATTTAGATTACAACTACTTTCCTAAGTTTGTTTTTATTTCAATTACACAAGGCAATAAATAATATAGAGTAAGTACTTGTTGGCTGATGACTTAAGACCAAGATAACAATATTAATTTTCAAGTTCTTTGCAAGTTTGTTATTTTAAGATTGCACAATTTATTTGTGATATTTTTCAAAACAAAAACAATACTCAGCTATGAATTGTATTACCTCTCTACCTTTCAATACCATACTAACCAGTGGTATGGTATACTGTAGTGCCCATCAGACAGGATATTCCGTCTCTTAGAGTGAAAGAGCTTACGTACAATTAAACAGCATGTTACAAAGTGGGTCTGCTGCCAAATTGAAATTGTTTTTATAAGCTCTAGTAATATTAATACCAGTTAGCCCTTGAGTTTGTCAATCGATTTATGGAATAGACATCAATTGCATATGACAAATTACTAGACTTTTTAATTAGATTATGGCAAAACTTTTGTTCATTTACAATTAAAAGATCATAAAACTGACTGTTTATATTCACAGCATTTCTATTCTGTAATGTAAATTATTTTTATTTTTATTGCATAGATGGGAGGACAAGCTCACAGCCCACCCAGTGTTAAGTGGTTACTGGAGCCCATAGAAATCTACAGAGTAAAAGCCGCCACCCACCTTGAGATATGAGTTCTAAGGTCTCAGTATAGTTACAGCAGCTGCATCACCCTTCAAACCGAAACGCATTACTGTTTCACTGCAGAAATAGGCAGGGTCCTACCACCAGTAATGACGTTATTTAATTAATAAGATATTAATACAAACCTGTCTGAAAAAGAAAGTGGTGTCTTTATGTACTGCTGACATAGTTCTGACATGAAATAATAAATTTGAAAGTTTGTATCTATCAGCCGCCCTCCGTCCACCAAACACCAATGATTGCAACATTCTGAAAAATTAGAAAGATATTGAATTACTATAGCTATTTCTTTAACTACTTTTGATCCAACATTACGATAAGTATCACTGTTTAATAAATAAAACATGAAAGATATCAATGCATAAAAGATTTGCCTTTAGAATGAATGAATTCATAACCCATTTACAGGTAATGGCTAAGCAAAGTTTTGGCTTTTTTGAGACATTGTGGATGTGCATTACTGAAATAAATGAATTAACATGAATGTTCAACCTGAATGTTCAACCTCCTGCACCATTTTAAAGAAGAAAGTCAAATCAGCTATCTGCCATTTCTCTCTTGCAGTGAACATGTAAATGATTACGAGAATACTAGTAATTATTAACTTTTTGTATGAAACTTAGTAATAAAGTTTTTGTTTTTCAAAAACAGAAGTCTTAACCTTATTATTATTAATGCAATAAAAACTGTAACGTGAGTAAAAATGTTGCATTTTTTCAATTATTTATTTGGAAACTTTAAAATTTTATCTATTATTTTTTGTGTTCAGTTGCCTAAGTTTATTATCACAATTTTTTATAAAAATACACACCATATCATTTAACAGGTAAAAACAATAAAAACTTACTTTAAGACGTTTAAAATATCTTCTGCTTTCAAAATCAAAACATAGCTTAATTTTCAGCCACGTAATGCGAAAATTACTTTACAAAATAATTTTCTTATCAGTACCGGTAAAATGGGGCGATTAGGGATTGAAAGGCGAATCGGGAAAAAACCGGGAAAATCTTTCACGCTCAATATAAGTTTTATATTCGTTGCAAAATCTTCCATTTTTTTTGTAGTTTAATAGTAGAATGTTGAAAGTTCACAAAACAACTCTGAATATGCATGATAATAGCTGCTAACTTATAAAAAATCGCGTTTCAAATTAACTTCCTGTGGTGGTAATTATTTTAGTGCTAGAAACTTTGCTCTCTTTTATTTATTTGATAATAATAGAAGACGACTATGATTTATAAACGTTATTTAGTGTTTGAACCAGCATATATATTAAAGGTAAGTCTCAGTTGTTATTGGTTTTAATGTATTTGATTAAATAAAAATACATGTAAAAATCTGTTGTTTTTGGGGATATTGGGGACGTCTTAGGTACAAATAACAACGAAAAAGGGGTCAATTGGGATGAGAATACGTGAAATGGAAACGACCTAAGTATAAATAGGTACAGGTTTGTAGGGTTGTCTATGTAGTTATAACAATATTTTTTAAATTTGTTGGTAAAAATCTGGTTTATTCGAAGCGAAATTGGGAATAAGTCTTTAGTTGAAATAGATAAGCAATTTAATATAAGTAAGTCGATTTTGCAGAGACATGTAACAAGATCAATGAAATCTCAAGGTGGACAAAAATGTCTAAGTAATACATAATAAAATATTTAATATTTGTTCAGAGTGGGGGTATTCATCTGATTAATCCATGGAATAACCGACACACCTAATCTCTTAACCCAGATAGAAATATCAGCCCCTAAGTACTTACCAAGAACGGAGAAATATAAACCGTTTCTAAGAAAGCCCACTATATATGTATAAATATATATATATATATATATTTTTGTTACTGCACTGTCGATTGCACCTATAATTGAGGTGATGTCTGCCATGTACTTTTGTCAGTTTTTCAAATTTTTTTATTGATGATCACTTTGTTGGTGCAACTAAATAAATAAATAAATTAAAACTATATATAAAAATAAAAGTAGTGCCAACCCTAGCAAATTTCTCATTTCGTCCCAATTAACCGCAATTTTCGGGTAAATAGGGATGACACCTATTTTTGCATTTTTTGCTTAAACTGGAATGCTAGTTGCATAATTTTAAATTAGACAACAAAGATGCCCCCAAGACTCAATCATTTTGATCCTGATATAGCATTATATACATCAACAACTACCTTAAAATTGCTCATAAAGTTGGAATTTGTCCCTAATCGCCCTATTTTACGGTACGTACCTTTATGTACAGTTTGTACAGTTATATTTGTATCTCAAATATATTAAGTTTATAATCTATGGTACAGTAGATATAGGTTTTTACTTATAAATCGAACAAGGCACTGGAATTCAATAAATAAATTCACTGTTTGTTTAGTTAATGCTACTGGTCGTTAGATTAGACATAAAGCTTAAAGTTAATACTATTATTTTATTTATTTAAAGCTACGGACGCTACGGTAACCACTCATACTGTTTTTGGTAGGACAGTATAACAGTACTGGTATATAATAAGTATGTAATCAATGGTACTGGTTGTTGTACAAGACACGGTCTTTTTAAAAAAAAAAAGATATGTACTTAAATTTTATTTAGAATTGACTATAAAAATACAGTATAAATGTATAATAAGTTCGCAAGTAATCGATTAATAATATTTTTTCTGTGTACATTAGAGTATGTACACAACTACACACAGAGAGTAGACTAGTTGACTAGTGTAAACATCGATCGCCAAATGTCATGTAAAATTAATACTTATCCTACTTTAATAGCATTTGGAAAGTGAAGCGTTTAGTGCGGAGCACATCTCTCCCATCACCCTCCCCCTCAGGACGCCGGACTGGCGGTCGTCGGCGCCACGACCACCAGCCCTCTCGGTACTTTAATAGCATAGCGTAAAACATGGCATGTGCAATACTAACAGTTAGGTACAGGTCACTCGGTTTCAATGGAATATGCGCCATATTAAATGGTTATTGTTTTAGTAATAACCGATCTGGTGTTAAAAACGTATTAAATTTTTTTTTTACTTTTTGTCCTGTTTTGGATTTAAAAATAATGGTCACCGTACCTATACATCAAAGAATACAATTACCTTCTACATATACATTTGAGTATCACAAATACGTGGATAATCTATACGTAGCGCAGAGCTCTATGGCAGAGCTTTAATCTCCTTTTTTTCAGCATGACAGCCGTACTTTTGCGATTCAATAGTTGCCAGCGTCGGGCTTATAATTGTCTCAAATAAATCCAAAAATACCACATTTACATTTATTGTTCTGCGAAACACTATTAAGGCTAGTGTTAGCAAATTCTCTCAGACTGAACCTGTGAACTAACCTACTCGACCGCGCGTAGATGGAATAGCCCCTTGAGCTCCAAGCGGAGTAGGAAAAAAAATCATTGTAATTTGTGTCCAAAATCGTTTAATCATATCTATCACAATATATGATAGTTATGTGTGATAGAAGTTCTTGATGTACTAGCGTGAATGTAAGGGAGATATAACATAGAGCACATACTGAACGTCCGACAGAAATGAGACTTCTGTGTCGATGTACTCAATAGGTAGTCGTTTAATGAAAACGTAACACTTGAATTTGGGTTGCGGCAGATTACGCCACGCACACACACCATCACCTTACTCACAGTCTGCCCTGGATAATTACAGTTTAATTTCAGGTTCAGACATGTTTTTGAGTGACAAAGGTGTATTGTTATTTCCCTATCTGTTCGCTTTTTGCCTAAGGGGCTATTCCAGCTATGTCTGGGATGAGCTCACAGGCTCAACATGAGTGAATTTTAGTAAGACTTGAGCAGATCCGGCGAGAAACTTAGTGGGCTAAGAAGTGTATCAGTCGGTTCATGTCCGACATACCCGCCTCAATCTCCACCGCGCAGGCAGAAGTCCGGCGATATCCTACTGATCCAAAAATAAACTATTTAGATTTACAAATTGGCCTCATGGTCTTGGAGAAATTTTATTTTAGTTCTTATTATAATAGATTATCGATTCATGCAGCGCCTCTTCTCTAGTGATGCCAAAGTAAATCGACTAAAATGAAAACATCAAACACTGGCTGGAAAAGACTTTTCCTTCAATCCTAGCTATAAATCAAACACGTGAAAATTTCATTCTTTTTGAATCAGACACAAACAATAACTTGCTAAATTAATAGTATGTCCACTATATTTCCATGATTTGACAATACTTTTAAAATAAAAAATAACAGGTAAGCGCTTCATTTAGTTTATTTCAATTCAAGAGTATATTTAGACAAATACAAACAATCTTATTTTTTTGTTGCATACATACGCTGCTTTGAATTGCATTCTAGTTAAACTCAATTTAAATCCACCTAAAGTTTTGTTTATTGTCTCAACTAAAGGTGAAAATACTAATAAAAAAATTTACATTATGATACCTTGTGTGAAAAGATGACTTTATACTTTATCATAAAAACCCCAATTTCAAACTTTACGACTTTACGATAATTTTCTGAAAACCTATTAAAAACAATCGACTATCGGTACGCACACATTGATGCTACAATATTCTGCGCTGTAGATTTCGAGCCTGCTGTTTGTTTTATTGCTATTTCAACTAGCACACGGGGAACATATCGCTCTGTTTCTTTTTTGCAAATTAGATTGGACGACGTCACTGACCTGCCGTTCTCGATCCCCACCCTCAAACTCACACTTAGAAATTTTCATCTGATGTAAACAGTAAACGTATACACGTAAACACATACTTTACATGTGTACTAATATGAGACGGTGTGAGTGAAAACAGGTTCTGCGTCTGTGCAATGTATTGATGTAAACATTATAACGTCATATTGTTTCATTCAGTGTGTTTTGGAGACCGTATGGAAATCTTTGATGGCGCATTTAGAAAAAAAAGTGATCAGCTGTTTATGAAGAAAAATAGAAACAGTGAAAATTTTATACGACTTCAATCTGAACAGTTTAAGTATTGAGTTTATGTTCAGAAAAAAACTCTTTGTTTCCAGTGATTCTTAATTAAAGGTCAGTATTTTTAATTCGTTCAAGTTTTAACGAGACAAAAGATTTATATGTATATTGACATTGTCTTTACGAAGCATTAATATTTCATATTATTATAATTACATAATGTCATTTAAACTTTAAAAATACCTATGTTCTATAATATAATAAAATAAACTCATATTTATTACCAAATTTATAAAACAATAATAAATCATTAAACGTGTATTTAAATGTGGAATGATAAATACAATAAAATATAATACACGATAATGCAAAAACAAAATTTAATTCATTCATTCGCAGTCGCACAGATCCGAGTGATCTCTGATAGTACAATTACTTAACTTAAATAATAATAAGTATTTTTTATACAATTAATAATTACCTAGGTATCGAACTTTTTTATACTTACAATTTTTTTACGGTAAATAAATTAGTGTGTTGAGTTTCATTTCACGATAAAATGAATAATATGATGACATTTAAATCAATTTTAGTAGTAGTGATAGCAGTGGTAATAGTTTGTATTTTTAATAAACAGAAAAACGCGCACCTTTATTTTTAAAAAAATAATGTGTATACGGGCCAGTTTCAGAATTGCATAAGTAATTTCAAATTTAGAATATCGTTATCTGTTATAACAGAGTTGTCTCATAAATTACGAGTCGTATCTAATGTTATTTAGGGTATATAATTAATTTTGAATATCTTGACAATACGCTGCAATGTATTCGTTTCTTTGGAACTCGTGCGTTTGAGTTTATCTCTTAAAACAAAGAATGTGTATCCAACACATGTATAAAAATAAAGTTACAATTATCTAATTTATGTGGTATTCAAATGTCCGTGACCTACTTTAACAAGATTCGCATAGGACAATACATACAATGTTACCCTTACCAACATTATAAACACATATTGTAAATCAAACATTTTAATTTAATTATTTTTTCGTTGACTGCGTTTACTACACTATAGTAGTAGAGTTATAGTAATATCGCACTAGCAATATCACAAAAAGCTTAGAAAACCCCGAATCGTGTAAAAATTACATAATCCTATCTATCGTTTTTTTTTTATTGCTTAGATGGGTAGACGAGCTCTCAGCCCATCTTGTGTTAAGTGGTTACTGGAGCCCATAGACATCTACAACGTAAATGCGCCACCCACCTTGAGATGTAAGTTCTAAGGTCTCAGTATAGTTACAACAGCTGCCCCACCCTTCAAGCCGAAACGCATTACTGCTTCACGGTAGAAATAGGCGGCGTGGTGGTACCTACCCGTGCGGACTCACAAGAGGTTCTACCACCAGTAAAACAACACAGACATACAATTTTAGCCACTAGCTTTTAAATCTGAACAAGTATAAAACAAATTTCGCACATTTTAAACTTATGACGCTGTTAATCGGACACGTTTGGCCCGTTAGGTTAAAGTTTAAAAACTTTGACATTGAGTTATATGGAAATACTAGCGACCCGCCCTCGCTTCGCTTCGGAAACAGTAATTTATTATTGATTTCTCAACTATTTAATGGATGTTATTATACATATAAACCTTCCTCTTCAATCACTCTATCTATTAAAAAAACTGCATCAAAATCCGTTGCGTAGTTTTAAAGATTTAAGCATACATAGGGACAGAAAGATATTGGGACAGAGAAAGTGACTTTGTTTTATACTATGTAGTGATACGGGATAGGAATACATACGTCCATTTACCGGTAACACAAAATATTCTTATAGACATAGGCTCTTAGCATACCTAAGTATTGACTTCGACCGGAAATCCAACGCCGAATATCTTGTACAGTAAACAGAATAACTAAACATTATAGATCGACAAGGCAGTCAGGGGCCGTCTATCTAAAGACAAAATAAAATTTATTAGTCCTTAAAATAACTAGTAGATATTTACGTATAAATGTGGATTCGATATATATGTGTTTCTCTTCTCTCTCTTGAAATAAAACCATTGACGAGTTTGACAACAGATTAAATACATTTTTACATACATAGATGGCTCGATTAGCTTACAGCCATAGAGTTAGTATTATAATATTTAAATTTATATTATATTATATTTATATTTATATATCCCGAGCGCTATGACATGTCTTTCTTCAAACGAGGCTTGTGGAGAGTATTACGCGGTAGGCAGCGGCTTGGCTCTGCCCCTGGCATTGCTGAAGTCCATGGGCGACGGTAACCACTCACCATCAGGTGGGCCGTACGCTCATCTGCCTACAAAAGAAAGAAAGAAATTATAATAGTTGTAGGTACTTATTAACTCCATGCTTACAGCTTACCTGGTGTTAGGACCAACCATAGACATCACAACGTGAAGATGACATGAAGTCGATTAGTCTTAATTGTATTGTACTCATATAACAGCTGTCTCGATCAACATACCGAAATGCGCGCGGCAGAAAAACGATAGTACGCCGATAAACTACCCATGGTAGCCTAGCCTAGTCCTTATGTCCCAGCTCCGATAAATCTAATGGAAATAAACTAGTAATCAATGTCAAATCGTCATTAAAAATCACATTCAATTAACCTATCCGTCTTTACACGCGATACATCTGTTACTTATATCTAATATGCTATTAAATATGTACTAGTATCAGTAACTAAAGAAATATTTATGTAGTTCTCACCCTGCCTATTTCTGCCGTGAAGCAGTAATGCGTTTCGATTTGAAGGGTGGGTGGGGCAGGCGTTGTAACTATACTTGAGGCCTTAGAACTTATATCTCGAGGTGGGTGGCGCATTTACGTCGTAGGTGTCTATGGGCTCCAGTAACCACTTAACACCAGGTAGGCTGTGAGCTCGTCCACCCATCTAAGCAATAAAAAAAATTAATTTTTTCTTCAGTTTTCGCGACTCGCAAATATTATTAAAATTACATTTACGGTTTATTCTCGTATTTTTTTTAATTGTCATTATATTATTTCTTACGTTTCGAATACTTTACAGTTTTCGTTGTCACAGATGTGGTTGTCAAATATTTTTTTACTATAACAGTCTGTGTCAAAAAAAAAAGTAAATTAAAATTACATTGACAGGACATGAGTGACATTTGAAATTGACTTCTTTGAAAAATCTTTTTCATGGCCCTTAGTTGCCCGATGTTTATTCGAAAAGCTCTTGTAAATCCACCGACACGTGAAGCCCTTTACGTCATACGCTTTATCTGCAAGTCGACCTTCGAGATTCTCACGACTCGATTTACACAGATCTAAGACGCGCGATGCTGTGACCTAAAAAAATCCCTTTGTTTAATGAATGCGATCAAGAGTCGGATCTTTTGATATTTTAAAATATGACGCGGGCCTCATTTAAGTTTGCCGAATTTTTCATAAATAAATTCATATTTAAATTGGACAAGTTTAGGGTAACTAATTGTTGTGATTGCAATTCACAATCTACTGTAATATTATATTTTCCTATGTTACTGGTACTAGTAACATACTAGTAAAAAAGAAATACACCCAGACTCTTAACACAATAACTTTAACAAAGATCTGTTGACTCAGTAGACCGACAGTAGACGGCGCCTAAAGAGACGATCAAATAGTGCAGTATTAAAATACTAAATAATTTTCAAAAGAGGCTAAATCTTCGCTGTCTTATTGTTTCCGTTACAAAAAACTCATTAACAATTCTAGTTTTCATACAAAAATATTAAGTATATTTGATATGTATCAACATTATTACAGTATACAAAAATAAACAAAATATGTAACAGATATAATAAATTCGGACCAAAATACTTACATAACGATGTGTATATAGGTACAATGTGCATAGGTTCTTTTTGTATACAAAATTTAAGGAATTACAGCAACTAGGTCATCTAAGATAAAATCTAAGTTTCTGTTTCTTTAATTTTTGTTTCGAAATATACGTTTGTGTAATATAGGATATTGTATGTATGTTTTATCGTTATTGCCTTTATAATTGATGATAGTGATCGCACAAAAGAGAAATAAGAAATATCGTTTTTCAGGCTTGAGGTACTACTTGCTACTTACTTCCTTATTGTCCGCAGTAGTATTATATAAATGTGCCTTCTCTACTTTATATCTTTAATTTTGTTATAGTCTCTGAATTCACAGTGGTTGGTTTCACCCTCTCCTCATGTTTCCCATTTCAAGAGCAATCATGTGAAAGCCGATGCATCAATGCGATTGAGACTTCAATATTAGGTCTATGTTAGATCGATAATAACTATAATCTATCTTCTATCTTCTTCTTCTATCTTGTATGTTCTTCTTCTATATATATAAAAATGAATTGCTGTTCATTAGTCTCGCTAAAACTCGAGAACGGCTGAACCTATTTTGCTAATTTTGGTCTTGAATTATTCGTGGAAGTCCAGAGAGGGTTTAAAAAGTGAATAAATATGAAAATGCTCGGAATTATATAAAAACAAACAATTTTGTTTTTCATTTGATGTGTCCCCCGTCAAACGGATTCTTTTTGTTTGTTTTAAGTTTATTTTATTATACAAAAGCTTAGTTCTTTTATTTATCGATTGTGGCACTACGAAGTCTGCCGGGTCAGTTAATATTAAAATAAAAGAGTTTTAATAGCAAATCTAATTAAAGTATTTTTTTATCCTGATCAACATACATATTAGACCCAAGTAAAAATATCATTATATTGTTATCGGTTCTTGATGCGTGTGTAAATTTTCAAATTAATCTTCAATTTTGAACTCAAATAAAATGGCGTTCAAACATTCCATACAAACATGCATTGTACGCGCCCTCCTGGCTGAGCCCATGCTCGTCCACCTGTCCTGGTGAAATTGTAAAGGCCTCAGGGTCACCAGTAATCTCTCAATCATAAAAAAAACATTGTACGTGCATAACAAGCTAATAAAAAACGTGTTAAAAAGACATATTCGCAATGCCTTTAAACTTCTATTCCGGCCAATCATGGACATTATATTGCAGTATTGCAGTATTGTTATCTAGCGTCAGGATTCTGTAGTATTTTTTTTTGCAACCA